ATATAATAACTTATTAATATATATTTTCATTTTGAAAAGTAATTTATTTTCAAATAATTAGATTTAGTTCTTATTATAAAAAGTAGTTTCTATTTTTATATTACAGTCAAATCTCTCTATAATCACATCCATTTATAGTCATATCTTTCTATAGTTATTCTATTTTGCTTTTTTATTTACATATAAATATAGTAAAAAATTCTTCTATAATTATATCCTCTCTATAGTTATCAAATTTTGCTTTCCTGAGAGTAATAACTATAGAAAGATTTAACTGTAATTTATTGAACTTGTTGATATAATATTTAATAATTTCAATTTAATGTAATATCTCAAGTTAATAATTCAAATTAAAATATTTAGCATTAAATAATTTGCAAAAAAATTTTTAAATTAAAATTTAAAACATTTAGAATACTTTGGAACTTATATAATAATTCAAAGTTTGAAATATTTAGGACTTTGAAAATTACTTTAGCCTGAATTATTATTTCAAGTTCATTTTGTTATTTATTCAATTTTTGTTATATTTAAAATTCTTATTTAAAAGAATATTTGAAATTTATATTATTATTAATTCAATTTTATGAATTTTTTGTTATTAATAATTCTATTAATTAATATTATTATTATTTTAAAATCATATAATTATTTTCTGAATCTTGATCTTTATTTTTATATTTTTAATTTGAATAATTATTTTTTTATTATTCTATTATTTAATAAATAATTAAATTTTTAATTATATTAATTACTTGTTGAATAATTATAATAATTATTTTGTAATAAGTTATTAAATAATCTAAATAAGTATTAAATTTAGATATAAATTTATAATTGTTAGTAAAGAAATATTTTTTTCTATTTTTTTAATATTATTAGTTGTTTTGAATAGAATTCATTAAATAAATTAAATTCTTTTTTAAATTCTTGTTTAAATAATTTTCAAGTAATATTTGAATTAAAAATAATTGGTATTTAATAATATATTAATTTTATTAAATTAATGTATTTAGTAATTAAATTATTTTTTTTAATAATTCTTTGATTCAAATAATATTAAAATTAGTTTCAAAAATATTTTCAAATAATTATTTAGTAATAAAAATTTAGATATTATTTTTTTATTTTATAATTTAATTGAAAAAATTAACTATTAATTTAGTAGTTATATTAAATAATAAATATAATAATTATATTATTAAATTATTTATAAAGTTATTTCTATTATTGATTTTCTAAATAAATATTAAAATATAAGCTAATAGATTTACTAATAAAAAAATAATTATTTATATATAAAAAATTTTTAATTAAAATAATATATAATATAAGTATTCATATATATTTCTATAATATATTACTAGAAATTCAAAAATAAATTTGTTATTTTAAAATTCAATATCTCAATATCCAGTAATTTTATTTAATAGTAATATTTTTGTTTAAATGGGATTATTAGATATTGAAATATCAAATTCAAAGTGACAAATTCTTTTTAAATTTCTGATAATATACTTTAGAGATATATAAAAAATTTTTAAGAAAATTAATAATAAAAAGTAAAAGAAAATAAGTAAATTAAAAGAAATAAAAGACAAGTTATATTAAGTGAAAAATAGGAATACAACTTATAGTAAATAATAAATAATTTAAATTAACAAATTTTAGTGCTTTAAAATAATTTATTTATGAATATACAAACAGATATGTCAATAATTCCAGCACTAATATTTTCAAATAGTTATAATAAAGATATTGATATTTTATTAGTTAATTATCAGCATATTTAGCTAATATAATATGAATTCAATTGATGTAACTCAAGATAGAGCATTTGGTATTCTCTGAGAATATTTATTTGAACCAGTATTAGATTAATTTGATTGAAAAATTCTTGATAAGTGATGAATATTCTTGCAAATCATGAACAATCCAATATGAATACTTTTTAATTATATAATATAATATAGAGAATTACTAGTAATACAGTCAAATTCCTCTATAGTCATCATCCTCAGAAAAGCAAAATCAGATAACTATAGATGAGTTTTTTTACTATGTTTATATATAAATGGAAAAGCAAACTAAGATGACTATAGAGAGGTGTGACTATAAATGTATATAAATATAGAGCTTTGACTGTAGTTTTAGAAATTCTTTTATTACTCATAACTATGTTAATGTTCCTGCCAATAATGCTGTAGCAGTAACTAATTTAATAATCTCTGCTGAAAGTTTTTATGAAAATTGGAAATTAGCTAGAGGATGACCATCAGATAAATCTATTAATACAGTAAAGGCAGGCAATAATAATACTATAATATACAATTGGAGAAATATTATATTGGTTTAAGAATGAATATCCTATAGCGATAATATCCGGTCGGTATATACATGTATGTGTAAATGATCATTATAATATAATTTTGGGGAATGCCGGGCGTTCAGATACGTACTTATGGTCGTTACTGTAAAGAGAAAATCTGTTCATATTTCCATTAAATAAAAATGAAATTCAATTCCGTTGCTTTAATTACCGCCTTGCTTCATTCATTCCAAAGTGAATTCGTATCCATGATGTTGTACTACACGGATATGGAAACATACCTGAATTTGTATCTATATTTATATTTTTGTCTATTTATATACATGTACATGTATTTATACATGTACCTATTGTTATCGTTATACCAATATGTATGTCATTCTAACACTGGTTCTAATAATATCGGCAACGACAATGGCTTAGGAAATACGGGCACCAATATTGGTAGTAAGAGTCTAATGGAAATTGGCAATGGTAATGACCAAAATAGTGGTAATAGTGGTTCAAATAATTGTAAGGGACTTCCAAATGGTTCGAGTGTTAGGAAACTCGAATATGGGTAAAGATATATAGTAAATTGGACATAGAATATTCAGAACTCTAATTTTTCTATTAAAAAATCTATTAGGACATAGGTAGTTCTAACAGCCAATCGGGAAGTGACAGCGGCAAGATAACTCAAACGGGTCTGTAGTGGTAACAATACATATCTCAAACAAAACGATTGTAGCAGCGCTGGAAACAATAATATTAACAACGTCGTCTCCAGATTCAGTGTTTCCGGTTCCGTAATGTTGGAAACTTTAATCAATAACAATATAAATCAAAATGATCATAATGGTGAAGGAAGCGAATCAAAGAATATCGAAAGTGGTAATGGTGCAAATGATGATAATAATAACGCAGATTCTGTATGGTGCATATAGCGGCACTGGTAATGTCGGTAATAATCATGGATCTAATATTGGAAATGGATACGTTGGCTCGAGTTACAATGGCGTTGGTCAATATTTGAATTTGAATAGTTTTGGCTTCTCAATAAATTTATTATTAAAGTTATCCTAAAACATTATCGTTATATCATGAAGACCCTGCAAATAGGATCATCGTATGACGCTTGAACATCCTCCCATCATTTCTCGCCGCTAAAAAAGTATGATAAAGATTCTATAAATTAATATTGACCTACCGTTACATCCATAAGATGAATTATCAGAATCGTATCGTTAAGGAGATCAAAAATCCAAATTATGTATTACTGTGGACTTGTCCACGACATTGAAGAGTATTGTATTATACATGTATCTAGATTAAAAAATTGTGCGAATATTGATTTTATCGTTATGCTCTGATAAATCAATTAATGTTTGATTGCTTGTCGTATAAAAATGATATTTTCTACTCTTGTGAGACTTATGCGATTTTTCTATTATACTAATGAGCTTTTATTCACATTTATTCATATAAGAATCAATATACAGAATTTGAAAAGTTTGATTTAGAATTAAATTGAAATCCATAATTCAGTAATATGAAAGATTATTTGACACCGATTCCGTTCTTTTTATTTTATCAAAATTATTATTCGCTATTATTAATATTTTGAACTTTCATTCAAGAAATCAAATTAATTGACGGCTCCGGGTGTAAATTGCTCCTCGATGGTTCACGAACAATAATGCGCGTTAAATGCTGAATTCGTAATGGAAGCAACTATTCCTGATCACATTTAACTTTAATTCAGCTATTGGTGTTTAAGGCTAAACCTTATTTTCAATTCCGAAACACTTCGGATTTGATGTCTGAAACTAAGTTATTAGAGCGTCAACTGATCAATTACGTATTAGATAACGATAATGATTGTATTGTTAGCGTTAGAGATGTTGGAATTCAGTAATAATATTATCCAATTAAATGATTATAATGAAGACGACATGGAAAACAAAGATATGGGAATTCAGGACAATAATTACGAAGTTGTATTTATTTATTAAAGAAATACAAAATATAACTAGTATCTTCGCTGTTTAGCTTTAAAAGCATGAAGCACTACATAATTATTAAGTGAATGCAAGTACGTGTTTTATATTGATAGGAAGGTTTCGAAATTTCGGAAAATAATATCATTGGGCAAAATCATTTTCGGATAGTTTCAGTTTGGCGAAAATTTTGGCTTTAGCTCGAAACATCACGTAGCGGTAATTCCAGCAATCATCCAGTATTAATACGGAATTTTCAAGTTTCGCTGAAAGAAATACATGTAATTTAGTTTCCTTCAACGTTAACTTTAATGGTTAAAATAATCGCTACGTATGTTACCGTTACTAAAAAAATCTTTTTAATTCGGACAAAAAATCCCGAACAAAGAACAGTAAATTGGTTCCACATACGTATACGTAATTGAATGTTTCACACAGCATACATATTTAAGTCGCCATTCTTTGCTTTTTTAATAACGATAACAATAATAAATATACGTACCGGTACAAATATTTATCGTTATTGTTATCTAAATTAAACATGCTTTCCAAATCCAAATCTACAAGAAACTCGAAAGTTTCGAAAAATGCCAACATGCCAATTATCCCAATTGATTTACTCCCCGATATTTTTCAACATTTCGAAAATGACCGTCAAGCTATATATAATTGTGTTTTCGTGAATCGTGCATTTTGTCGAACGGCTATACGTATTTTATGGCAAGATCCATTTGAAGTAAATACACCTAGAAAATCTACCTGGCCGTATGCAAATTATCGAGCAGCCGAAAACATAATTTCACTTTACTTGGCATGTCTCAGCTACCAAGACAGAAAAACATTGTCGAAAATCAAGAATTTGAAAATACCACAGAGACCAACATTTAACTATCCGCAATTCTTGAAATATTTCGACGAACAGAGTGTTTACATTTACATTCGATCCGGTCAATTCTACAATAATAAATTAGGTGAAGTAACCGAAGCGTATAGCATACATTCGGCCATTATGAATTTGACTTTGAGGGAGTCACAAAGACTTCATTATATAACTTTTGAATGTAGTTATATTTTCGAAAAGGCGCCTTGTAAACTTACAAGTCTAAGGCACATTCAATTTAACACTCGTTCTTCTGGTGTCGATATGCCGAAGAGACAAGCAGAGAATGTTGCAAATTTAATACGTCATCAGATTCATTTAGAATCTTTTACAACTTCTTCGTTAACTGCAGGCTTAAGTACATTGTTTGATGCCCTTGCGATTCAAATTCGGACTCTCAAACAGCTTGAATTCGTTCTATGTGACTTTAGCCATTTTGATTGGGCGGAACATGAACAACTCTTAGAGAGTATTGATAAATTGGTTTTGAAGAGATGTACGAATGTGCCTCTATCAATGGTTGAGAATTTATCTATTTTCAAAGAAAAACAAATAACGTGGGATGCTTACACTTTTTCGCGAAAACACATTTAAATATTTCTAAGTTCGCAATTATTCTAAAGCGAGCCCGTAGTATATTTGTTTTAATAACGCAGTAAACATCATGCCTATTATAATCCTAAAATGGGATCCATGTCAACAAATTTTTCTATTAATTACATTTGATTGGTGAATATCGATATTATTATAAATAAATGATTTTCAAATTGTTGGTTTGTTTAGCGTATCAATCGACTTTTTTTCTTTCTTTTATCAATCATGTCTTATGCAACTTCCAACGAAACCTTCGGAATTAATTCTCTTCCTTCAGAAGTATTACGGAAAATATTTCAAAGTTTTCACAAAGACCCTAAAACATTAAAAAAGTTCTTGAAGGTAAATCGTCAATGGTGTCGAGAAGCTGCGCCATTGTTATGGAGCGATCCATTTCAATTCATACGAAAAACCAAAAATGAGTATAAATTTATCGAAACGTGTATTTCATGCCTCGATCCTGATGCACAACAAAACTTGAGGGATTTTGGCATTGAGATGATGCCTGAGTATCCTTATCATAGTGCTTTTTTTGATTACCTGAATCTTATAGAGGTGTTCGATTATCAATGTTTCGCTGAGACAATTTTTGATTATGTGAGTCGTAATTCGGACAAAAATTCAGATGATATCAACCAACATACAAGCGAGGACACAGATGATGAAACATGCGTTAGTCGAAATACAGACAATACTTCAGATGCTGAAGAATATCTCGAAGATGAAACTTCGGACGAGGAAGTTCATAAAGATTCAACAAAAATCAATTTGGAAAATGAACAATCCAACAATGTTGAACTTAGATTTGAATACGAAATCAGAAATCAAATTGCTATTCATATCTTTTCTCATCTTGGTCAATATAAAAATTTAAAAGAAATTAGATTTAATCTGGAAGAACCTTATGATGATGAAATTCTTCCCGATTTTTCTATAATTCCTAAAGCATCAAAAACATTGTCAAGTTTATCTACGGTCTCGATAAAAATTCACTTTGGACATTTGTTTCCGGAAAACAGAGTACGGATTGCGTGTCTGATTTCAATGGTCGCCAACCATTGCCAGAAACTTCACACTTTAGAAATTGATTTTCGATTTTTCGATCATCAGATGACTGACGATGTATACGAAATTCTCTCGAGACAAACGCAACTCAAAAAAATACGTCTGTATCATATACCGGAAGAAATAGTTTTTGATTTCGCTTGCCTGAATTCCGAAGTAGTTCAACTTGATGAAATTACAATTGGCGGCACAGCGGGTGAAAATTTTTGCTTTGATGGATTGACAAATTATAAAGTTCGACATTTGCAACTCGAAGAATTCGTAGGAATTGGTTCCATTGACTACATCCATATATTGGGTTTACAGCTCAAAAGCTTCTCCATTTCCAAATACCTTGAAACGCATCTCAACTGTTCAACGCTTCTAGAAAAAATAGGACCCGGATTGAGCGAATTAATGCTAAATACAAAACTCGATAAACAAGTTCTCTTAACAATAGGCTATCATTGCAGAAACCTCACTTCACTACAAATTTTGATAGTGGAAGGTTCAACGCCAGAAATGATTCAACTTTTCTCGAAACTTTTAAATTTAAGATATTTAGACGTTGCTTTCTACAGCTCGCAATCAAACAATTGGGATCAAGAATTTACAATCGTTTACGAGGATGAAATTTTTTGTTGTCCAGTTGAATCTGATCCCGATCAAGTATTAATCGAATTAGCACCTTTTCTGCCGACGACTCTAAAAGATCTTACGTTAAAATTTAGAATAAACGCAAGATCATTAGAAGTTTTCTTGACCGATATTCCAGCGTCGCTTCATCGTCTTCACATTGCTCAGCGTGCCGGAGTCACCGACGAACATATTAAAACTATCATACAATATGCTAAAAATGTGAGAACATTACGAGAACTAGAATTCAATCAAGTTTTTAAATTAGACCCTGAAAATTTGGCAGAGGCGAAAACACTTTTCGATATTTCTATTAATTTACCGAAAGATAAAGATTTTGATTTCTTTTAGATTAATCATGATAGTCGTATAATTAAGAACAGCTCACATTAAAGCATCTAAATAATGCTTGAATAATTTTTCCGTCTCACTCTTTAATCGTATTTACATTCTACGTTTTCTAATTTTTCGAATAAAAACGTACATTTATCTCCGAATTGCCAAATAATACAAAGAACTCCCACAATTATGAATTTCCCAATTGAACCCTCACAATATCGTTATTAACAAATAGAGATGATTTACTTATAGATTTATTACATTATTTAGGTGAAGAAATAGAATGAATAGATAATAGAAAAAGGTAGATTGAATAATATAGAAAATAGAATAGAACCCACTAGACACTAGAAAAATTTCTTTACATTTTATTTTTTATTAATTTTATTAATTTTTTACATTATATTTTTTTAATATACTGTATTATTATTTCTATCTTTAACTTTGTCACTTTTTAACGTTAATATTGATATGATCGGTCCAAATTTGAAACAAATCACGTGAATATTTATCATATGAGCGTGATTTTATTGGTTGACATTGATGATAATTCAGGCCGGCACTATGCTAATGCTAAATTATCATAATGTTAGCCCGAATTATTATAATAGTAATAAATATAATTGATTCTATTTTTAGATCACAGATAAATAAATATATGAAAACTTACTTTCTTAGTTATATCACAATGATAACTGGTTAATTTTAGAAAACATCTCAAGCAAAATATTTTTATCTTCCATAGTAAACAACTACAAAATGAAAACTTTTCATTAATAAGCATAAAAAAATTATCACTGAACTCTTATTATAATCAGAAAATTCTCATTATGATGAAGATATTTTTTATTAACTTGCTTCTTCTCATGATCTTGATCTTTACCGTTGCTGATGCTAGAGAAATATGTCCATCACCACTTATTTTTTGGTGCATTCGTAATACTCAAGATGGTTACAGTTCCACGCTGTAATGTGAAAATCCAAATGTTTGCACTTTTGTGTGATATCAAAATTCAAATAACGTCAGTGTCGGACATAACGGTGACAAAACAGCAAATAACAATAATGTACAGAATGATAGTAAATCAGTGGGTTACAATAACATACAAAACAATGATGAATCAGTGATTTGAGAAGCGATTTTTAGTTTAAAAATGACTGTAATATTTTGTCTTAGACCAATGAATATTAGCAAATTGAGTTTTTTATTCTTGTTTATTTTTATGTATTTTTATAATATTGAATAAATTGAAAGAATATTAACTTCATTAATTGACATTTTTCTAATTCCAAAAATATCTTGACTTAAAGCATTAATCATCTATGTTCTATGATGAGAGGAATAATGATTAAGTGGGAGTTTGATTTTGTTTTTGATTTTGAAAAGAAGTTTGTTCCAAATTTAGGATTTCTTCAAAGTCAACAAATAAATTTTTTTCTATTTGATTAGTAATCAATGTCATTATTATGTCAATATCATTAAATCTATTCTTCAATAATTAAATATTCTTTTTCATTTTCTACAAATAGTTAGTTTTCAACTTATACAAAACAAGAATTTTCATATTTTTGCATATATGGTGAATATTGTCACCAATTCAATATCATTAATAATTTAATATAAAAATACATGAATAAAAAACACAATTATAATAAAAATTAGTTATAATGATATTTGGATTATGTATTTAGTTTGATAATATTCTACTTTTTTTTATTTCTTTCTATTTTCTTCTTTTTTCTCTTATATTACTTATTTTCCTATATTTATTTCATTGTTATCTTTATTTGAATATAAAGATGGTCTCCTAAATTATTTTTGGAAAAAATGGTATTTCGGCAAATAATTCGGTTTTGCTATGTTGCTTATA